AGCGGCAGACCCAGTAATTCTGGTCCACTTCTGGGTTCACCACCAAGCACCCAGGGGACCCCCCTCCTGCCCCCTTCCTGTGGGACACTCCACCTGCCCCAGCATCACAGCGTTCACAAGTCACACAGGTACATCGAGGTATATAGAAAAAACATTTAAAGCTGCGTCTATGGCCAAATCACTGTTTCTCCACATCAGCACTGAATCTTCAGATTCAAATTTGGCTGAATCAAATCGGGGACAGCGATCCAAATGAACAAATCAAATCACTGTCCCTGATTCAGCACGAATCCGAATCAGACACGGCCCATTTTGCGCGTCCCTATTATATAATTATAGTTTTCATGACTTCCAAAAAGAAAAGCACAACAGAAAAGAAGCCTTTTCATTAAATCTCATCTGTGAAATGATCTGTTTACTTGATACAGTCAATAAGTGAAGCAAAGCAAAAAGACGGAGACGGGAGGTGACTGCTTTCTACAAATACAGCGAGTGGGATAAACATCAGAACAGGAAAGGAGCTATTTAAGCTAATGGACGATACTGGCACAAGAACAAATGGGTATAGACTGGCCATGAATAAATTTAGGCTGGAAATTAGAAGGTTTCTCACCATCAGAGTGAGGTTTTAGAACAGCCTTCTCAACAGAACAGAGGAGCAAAAACCTCGCATTTTTAAGATGGAGCTTGATCAGTTTATGAAAGGGATTATGACATGACTGCCTGCAATAGTACTGGACTGTGACCCACGAGGTCCCTTCCAGTCCTATGTTTTTATGCAAGACATGCTACATATTCCATCTGAAATGAAGTGATGTGACTACAATGGTAACTATCCACAGAGAAGTCAAAGAAAATGAAGGCTTTTCTGTGGTAGTTACAATGGGTCATACTTACAGCAACAGAGGCCCACTGCCATGCAAAACAGTGACTGGTTGGCATCTGATCATGTGAGCGACAGCAGCCAATAAAAGCAGAAAATAAGAAGCAGAAGACAAAGCACCACCAATCAATGTCAGAGTCGCCATGTACAGTACCCTTCCTATTTTCTCAATAGATGAATATATATACAGTTACAGTATTCAACAACTTTCACCTAAAGCTGTTCTAATCACTCTTTGAAATTATACCTAATAATTAGGTATACTTCATTTTTATGTAGCATTTAGGCCTTCTGCTAAAGTAAGCAACTTGAACATGGTATCTTTGCAATTCAGAAAAGCAATGAATTAATTCAGCACAATATAGAAAATCCTCAATTCGGAATTGAAGAAGTACAGCGGAGATGCTTCTGACCTTCTTAAGAGGCATTCAGATATAATATTACAAACTAATCTATGCTATATATTGAAGTTTTGTTGGGTTTTTGGGGTTTTTTTCTGGGGGGGGGGTTAAAGAAAATGATTAATGTACACTTCATTTCAAAATGCTTGAAGATATCTATTTCTGTGCTGTCACTAGGACCAAACAGTCAACATGCTGAAGAGAAAGCAAGCAGGACAAGTGGGGAAAAAAGTAAAGTAAAAACTCCTGCTGATCAACATAGAAAATACAGCAGTTACTATGGTGCATTCTACTGTTTAATAATAGAAGAAATGTTTCTGATTATGTACAAAGGGTCATGCTGCCCAGACCTGAATACAGCATGACAACTTAAAAGGGTAGTTAGACTGCATTACAGATGAAAGGTTATTTCTCTGTTGTCAGTTTCAAAACAGCACAAAAACGAAGGAACAATCATCATGAACTGTTTCAGTAAAAAGCCTTTGTCAAAATACAAAATATTGCAAGGTTTACAGAGCATGTACAGCTCTCTGTTGCTTCAGGGATTGTTACATTTTGCTCTATTTTCCAGACTAAAGTTGATGAATAAAACAGCAGGAATGGAATGGAGACACAGAAAAAGCAACGGGGAAGAAACAAAACTTAAAACACACAAGCCCAAACCTTACCGGGGTCATCCGAATTGTCGCGTGAGTCCCACAACCCTGTATAGCTTTATGAAGCGTTTCACTGAACATGCTGCGGAGTTCCACAGAGTGACAGTAAACAGCATCAATCTTGGGCCACCAGTCCAGTGCAGACTAGGAAATACACATTTTGTTAGCATCACTGTCTAAAGGAGCAAACAGGATACACATGTGGTCCCCTTAAATTTTTTAAAATATCTTGTCAAAATAGCTACAGCCCTGCACACACATGGCAAATGCAACTAATGTAATGGAGCTGCAGGGAGAAAGAGGGGGGGAAAAAAGAAGCGTTAAATTATTTTGAAGAACATGAATACTTCGTAAAGTCTTGAAAGAAGATTTGTTAATTCTCTCCTCTAACTAAGCACCCAATCTGTAATACCTGCTTAGATTATATTTCACACAAAATAATTGAAAATGTAGTTGGTTACTATGCTGTCTCCTTTATGATCTGCCACCTTGTACATGCAACAAACGGTTACAGAAATTAACTGTGAAAAGGCTGACGCCAGAAGAAATACAGAACGAGTGAATAATACTTTTAACTTGACTGTTCAATCATGCACTCAATTCACTAGAAACTGAAACATACTGAAAGCCAGCAAGATTTCTGGAGAACATAAACAGTTGCTAACTTCTGTTAAGCTTTATTACATGACATATTAACTGTAGTATGGAAAGCAAATATTTGCACAACAAATTGCAGCAATGAAAATTCTTTGCACCTTGTTGTTGCAAAGAAAAATTACTCCCACAGTCACCTCCATCCTGACTCCCTAGTATACCAACTTATTTCTACATCCTAGAACTTGATGCCATGGCCTGACTTAGATGCTTATCTATATTAAGACTTCTGTATTATTCTCAGGCCAAATTTCTCTCAGAATGGTAACAAGTTCTAAGTTACGTAAGTTAATTTAAAGTGATTGTTGAGTGGTATTAGAAGAAAACTGAATAGCAATTTAACATTGCCATTCCATTCATAAACATTATAAAAGCAAACGGTTGCATTTTAAGGACCTATAGATATGTAGTGGCATATTTACATGAGCAACTGCAAACCCTGAGAATGGTATTGTGGTCTTTTCTTTTTTTTTTTTTTAACCAGACTCAGAAGCTGTTCCCCCAAATCATACCTTTAAATTGTTAGTTATATACAATACTATACAGATATATGGATTTAATCAACATAACATCCCACCCTTCTTTACTTCCTGTAGTGAGGCCACCTTTAACACTATGGAAATAACGGTAAGAATATAATGCAGCAGGTCATACAAAAATGAACACAATCTATTTAAACAAAAGCCAGATGACTTGCTCATACATCTTTCATCTTTCACCGTCATCATTTCAAGATCAAAGTCTTTTAGACTCCAAAACTGTCTCTGGAAACAACTCAGTAAAGAGATTAGGGAAGCAAGCCAAATTAATGAAGTGTTGCTAATTAAGATCCAATTTCAGATGCAACTGTCTGCAGTAGGAGACATGTTCCTTTTGGAAAAGGTTTCACCTCCACGTCCCTATTTCACTAGGTCAGAATGACATCAGTATTTATATTTGTTTCTACCTTGTGCTTTCTAGGTCTTTTGCAGGAAGAGCGAGTTAATGCAAAAGATCCTATTTCCTGCTGGATTTGTGCTTCATTAGAAGCTACTTTCAAACATGCAAAAAGTACAGGTCACGTATCAAAGACAGAGAAGCATGCCTAAAGTTCTGTTTTAGCGTGAAAGTCCAAAAGGCTCAAATTCAGCCTCAGGGCAGTTCCCAATCCATGCATGGGCACATGGTCTATTCTACCAAATTTAAGCAAACTGCTTTTTATTTAAAAGGGTAAGATAAATCCAGGTTCAATGCGTAGTTTTGTTTCTTTAACATGGCAATCAAATTTCAACTTTCAGTGAAGAAAGGGGCTAGTTACAGGAGGTCTGTGAAGAAAAGCTCAGCAGTAGTTCCCAAGGAACTCGCATGGCTTTCCTGCACAGCACAGTGCTGGCGGAGATGGGTGGCATTCAAAGTTGGAGTTTGTAGGGCTGAAATGTACTAACATCTACTTGGACTGGATTCAACTCTGCTCTAGGAGGTTTTACTTCTTTAAAAAAAATGCTGCCTTGCCTTTTTACTCAATACCAAGTCCCCCCAGCTGTTCACTGCAGCCACCTGTTGTCATTTATCTTCGATTGTAAACTCTTAAGCTTCTTGGGACAGGAAGCATTTGCCTAAGCACAACAGAGCTCTGGTCTGTGTCTGGGGCCCCTAAACACTGCCATACTACAAGTGAGAAATTTGCTTCCCCGGGAAGGCTGCATTGAAAAGAATAAAAGGATTGGGAAAGTAAAGGAACTGCTATAATGAGACTGCTACACTTATTTGTTATGCAATAGTAACATGAAAATTACAGGCACATGTAATATGAAAAGGAGCAAAATAAAACTTATATTTTCATCCTGACATTTCTGCACATTTAAACTGAGCTGGAGACACCTAAGAGGGGAAACTAACCTAGGAATGGATGAACAGAGGGGATTGAATCGCATTGCTTATTAATGAGAAAACCCTGCTGCCTGTGAAGGAATTAGTAGCATGAGAACGTTGAGCACTGTCTAAACTCCTTCCATATCAATAGTTGGACTCCTACACAGAAATCACAAATCTCTGGATTAATTAAGCCTTTCGAACACACAGCCTCAGATTAAAACCCATTCTTGATCGCCTCTCAAGTGAAATGTGGTATTGTCCAACTGATTTCACTTGAAACTTTGAAACTTGATTTCACTTTCATTTTGAAACTTACATTTGTGATTATTCGGTGAAGTGAATTTACCAAGACATAATGAAATGGTGATGGGGAATTCTGCGCCAAGCAGATCTAAAAGAAAAAAAAAAAAGGCCATTTATGAATACTGTTAATTTTTAACAGCTCTCGGAGCAGATCAAGCAGAACATCAGAAACTGTTAGGTTGTTAAAAAACAATGGCAATACTAAAACAACACTAAGAACGGCATTTTTAAGTATGTCTAACGAGTTAAGAACAGATTTTATCATACAATTATTTATGAATTTCTAGATGCTGCTAGCCCAACCCTGACGTCTACATCATCGGGAAAAACTGCTTTTCTGAAAAGAAAAGCCTCACCTTAAAATGCTGGTTGTTGTGGGGGTTTATGCGGAAGCAGGAAACTAAGCAGTCAATCATAAGATCCACATCTGCATTCTGATTACCTCTTGAGAATGGCTTACTCGGATTAAACAGCAAGTTCTAGACAAAAAAAGGTCTGGGTATGGAGGTTACTGCTTTTCAATTCTAATATACCAATACATTTACAAAAGTCAGAGAACAGACTGCTCTCCTAACACTTGCACTGTAAAAAAAAAAAAAAGAAAATCTGCTTATACTTGTTGTTTCTTAAACTTGTTAATGTTTTAACTAGGCTAATATTAACTAAACATTAATAAACCTCAAGGAAGGATCTACGTTAAGCATGGATTTTCATAGACAGTATCTTAACTAATGAACACTAACCAGGAAATTCAGAGTGAAAGGCTAGCCCCCTTTATCTTTAATGAACCCATTTAGTCATTGCAGGGTGTCCGTTGATGGATTCATTACTTGTTGTATTACCTACAGTTAACGGGATGCTCTGAAAGCAAAAAATGGGCAGGTTTGAGCATTATGGGACAGTGCTTGCAGGACACTGGTTGCACGAAAATAAAATCCCCCAGTTCTCTCAACCATGCCGCATTTAGTGGAAATGAAATGTATTAAGTCAACAGGCAGAGCAGCATGTGAGATACAATTAAGGACTGCAAATAAACTGCAATAGAAGAGAAGTTCTAATATTAGAAGACAGAGCTTTCTGATAAAGGAGTCTTAAAAAACACTCCATGAAAAGACATTCTGGTTTGTAGTTAAAGATAAATACACATTTTATTTTGAATATTAAATATCCTAAGCACAGAGGTCCTCATAAGCTCCAAGTCTGAAGCTCCTCCTCTTTACCTTGAGATCTACCACCATGGACTGCACCAGAAGGAAAATGACAGAGTTATCCTCCCAGTTGATGTATGTAGACGC